CCATCGCACAATTGGCGCGCGCGTCGCGATCAAGGGCGCTCCCCACCGCCAAACTGGAGCTCACTAGCATGGACGCGGCAACGGTCACTCGTTGGAATCAGGATGCGTTGGCCAAGGTTCCGATCAACAAGGCCACCATCGCTGCAGAATTTGCAGCTCTCTACAAGGCTGAGGACACAGCACAGTGGGCTTAACAAGCGCTGGTCACCGTGGCGATCTACTCAGACCGACGCTGACCATGCAAGACCTCCTGGCCCCGACGAGCTCCAGACACCTCACCCACACCCTCCACGACATCTCCAGCCAGTACCTGCATTTGATCAGCCTTGCCACGAACCTGAAGCGCGGCCATTGGATTCTCAACAAGATCCACAGGCTGCCAGACAAGCTCCACTGCATCCACGACCCCATCGTGCACCTGATGCACCGCACCTACGTGCCCAGGGGGATCGGGGCACCCCAGTTGTCCCTGAGGGACTGGCGAGCCCTCCAGATATTATTTCAGTTTATCAGGACATGGGAAGCCCGCGCGTTCCCGCTGCACCGCGCCCACTTGCTCACGGGGATCGGGGCAACCCCGTTGTCCCTGAGGGGCTGGCGATCCCTCCAGATATTACTTCAGCTTCTGAGGGCATGGGAAGCCCACGTGCTCTCGCCGCGACGCGTCTACTTGCCCAGGGGGATCGGCACACCCCTGTTGCCCCTGAGGGACTGGCGGGCCCTCCAGATAATAGTTCAGTTCCCCGGGGCCTGGAGAGCCCAGCAGCAGGTGACGAACGCGCACTTCCAGCACAGCACAACGTTCCGCATCCAGCGCAGCCGCTACCTCTCCCCGAACAAGATGCTCTGCTCAAGTCGACGAAGCACCCCAGCATCCAGGGCTCTAGCTCGGACACCAGCTCATCATCTACTTCTTCGCGACTTTCAACGTCGAGCAGACCCACGTCGTCCAGCCCCCCTGCTTCGAGTGCGATTCCCTCGAGGAAACCGAAGGCACGGCCCCAGGCTCAACTCCGACAAATACTTCAGCGGACCCCTCAGGGCACTACGTGTGCTGGAACGCGCGTGGACTTCTCTGTCACGACGATTGCAAGCGCTGGGGGAAGATCAGACAGCTCACACCCTTCCTGAAGTAGCAAGCATTGGTGGTATTGCAAGAGGTCCCCGGATCGCAGCTCGATCTTGAATCGCACATCGGCAAGCTCCCATACAACTACGACGTCTTCTTCAGCGGCTGCCCCTACCATCGAGGCAAAGGTGGTCTTGCGTTTCTGGTCCCAGCAGCGACGTCGTCGCCCACTACAGTCTCCATGCGGCCTATTATTCGTGGGAGGGCTGCCGTCCTCTACGTCGCCAATCACGTCGCGGGCTTTGGGACTCTGATCATGAATATTCACAACCATGACCTGGTGGCAGCAGACGTGGTTCGGGCGCCGGAAGCGCGGCATGCTCCTAGGACCTGGGCCGCTAGCAAGTCCCAGAAGAGACTCTTCATCGCCATGGGTGGCTTCAACACCGGCGCCGTCCCGTCGTTCGACTTCAAGGGCCCGACTGCTAGGTGGCCCCATATGGCACCTGATGAACAATATCACCGAGAACAAGCGCGATGGCGCCAACTCTTCGCCTCCCCCACAGAGATTACGCACGATCTACCTACGCATTTCCCGGCCAACACTCAAGCTGCCACAGCTATTGATCGCATATTCGTCTCTCTGCCTGGCATCGACCTGCTGAACGTCGACGCCCATCTGAAGATGCACAAGGATGGCGCCGCCCTCCCTGACAGAGGACTGAGCGATCAGGCGATCTTACACTTGGTGCTCGCCAACGTCACCGCAGCCCGACCTGGCGAGCAGGCCATAGACCAGAACATCTCCCACGACCCGACGCACCAGCGCCACTTCACTTCCCTCAAGATCACGTCGCCCAGGCACAGCATACACCTACAGCAGCATGGCGACAGCACAAGTTGATCATTAAGGAAGCGGCCAGCCTTACCGGCAACCTTTAGCAGCGAGCCTCTCTTCAAGATCTCAGTCGTTCGGCGAAACACGGCAGGCCCACCACACTACGAGCAATCTCGAGAACGATCTGGCGGAAGGATTCCGACGCAGCGGCGCCACTCATGGCCACGACCGAGATCGGCCGCATCCACCATCGCATCGCCGTGGACGGCCCTGAACTTGCGGACAGAGAGGAATTCATCATGCTCATGGACACCGCACTTACCGCAGACTACGATCGGCGAGTTGCCCTCGCCACAAAGCGCCAGCAGACCAACGCCGAGGCCCAGCTGGGCCAGGCCGGCAGCCCGAAGGCCGCCATGCAGCTCACGAGGCGCGCCCAGGCGCGGAACCCGTCCAGACGCCGTCTCGTTCCTTCGGGCCTTAGGACACCACTGGGAGGGGCCCCAAAAGACACGCTCACCACCACTTAGCACGCCCGAACGGATTCTCGGGGGCCTCCAGAAGTGTTGGCAGCCCACCTTCTCGAGCAAGGTCGCGGGCCCCATGGCGGCCCAGACCTACTCGGATCAGCCCCCCCCCCCTTCCGCCAAGTTCGACTGCGCGGACCTCCGGGCCCCTGCTCTTCAGGACTTCCAGAGAGCCCTCCGCAAGGTAAGACATACAGCCCCTGGCCCAGATCAAATTCCCTACGCGGCATGGGCAACAACCCCAGGATCCCCTCAGATTCTTCGCGACCTGATGACGCAGATGTTTGAGAAAGGACTTGCCCCTCACCAATGCAATGATTCGGTCTTCGCATTCTTACCGAAAGGCGCAGAGCCCCAGGACCTCCATGCAGTCTTCCGCGCCCCAGGAGCCACGCGCCCCCTCTCTTTAAAGAACTGTGACGCCAAGCTGATCGCGCACGCTGTGAACGCGGGCCTGGCGGACACGGTTCGGGATCGCACCATAGACGCGCAGCAGGGGTTCGTCGAGGGCCGAAACTTTGGACCGGTTGTTCTGACACTCGATCCTGAGGCCCGTAGAGCTGGTCACTCCCCAGATGCCCTAGATGCCTTCCCTATCCTAGTCAGCTTCGATATAAAGGCTGCCTTCCCTTCCTTGGGATGGCAGTTTTTATTTGCCGCACCCGTTGCGCATGGTGCCCCCCAGGATGTCTGAGTGCGGTTTACGCGTTATATCATTTCCCTGGCGCCTGGGCCCGAGTAGGCGGCCGCCTCCAATACATGTTTGAAATGGGTTCTGGGGCCCACCAGGGTCGCCCCCTCTCGGGATCCATTTGGGCCCTGGCTTTCGACGCTCCAATCCGTTACCTTGTCCAGATTTTAAGCACTCTTCCTGGATCCAATACGCTCGGAGCCTATGCTGACGATTTGGGACTCGTCCTCGCTCGCCCGGGGACCCCCCCCACCTCCCCCCCCCTTTCGGGCCATTGCATCCCCAGCAGGACTCGAGCTTCAGATCCAGAAGACCGTGATTGTGCCCACCCTTGCGGGCAGCTTCTCACCAGCCGTGCAGTCTCTCACCCAGCGCATTCTAGCCTTTCTCACCCCTGAGTGGAGCGACGCACAAATCGCTGAGTACGCCCGCTATCTAGGCGTTCTCATAGGCCCTGGAGTAATTATAGAGATCCCATGGGAAGCAGCTTTCGATAAAGACTGGCTCCGTGCGGTGCAACTTGCTACGGGTGCCCCCGGACCAGTTGTAGCAATCAAATTGTATAACACCTGTGTCACTACAGGCCCCCTTACCTCACGCAGTATTTCCCTTTCCCAGACTCTTTTCTCCGCCACGTTTGCGGTACGCTCCACAAGATCTTGAGAGCTCCACCCAACTCCTGGCGCCTCGTCGACCTCCTCGGCACTCGCTCGTGGTCGCAATCGTCCTGCCCCACAGCCTTAGTCACCTTGTCGCTGGTTTCGACGTGGCGCTCGGCCACTGCCGCGCTGCCGAACTGGCAGCCATTGTACCGTGCGCTGGTCACTGCTCAAGACCAGCTCAATCCAGAACTTTCCCTGGCGGCCCTGGGCCAGGCCCGCATCAGGGCTACTGTGTTCCCCTGTGTTTTGGAAGATCCTCGGTATCGTTGTGTACTGGCGCACTCTAGCAGACGGCACGCCGCCTCATAAAGTACCTCGCCCTGTGCGGTTCAGTGCTAAGGGAGTTGCCGAAGACGAAAAAGCCTCGGCAGCTCGCGAACCACGGCGTGCCAGGGTCCAGCGTTCCTTCTCCTCGGTCCTCCACGCTTCCCTCTACCCTGACACGTTCGCCGGGACCCTAGCACGCCGTCTCCACGCCGCGCTCCCCGAACTCGACCTGCCCCCGAATATGTCCGACCGCTGGCGCGAGCTTGCCAGCCACCTGTCCTGCAAGGCCCTGGCGATTCGCTGGGCGGTATTTGAGACCCTGGCAGGAGCGCGGTGAACCAGTCTTTCCCTTCGGGCCGCGTAAGACCTGCTTGGTCGGATGCGATGCATGCCCAGATCGCCTTGGCCATTACCTCACCTGTGCCCGTTTCCTGCATTTCCTCGCCTTACCTCGTGCCCTCCTCTCCTCCGATCCCCTTGTCCGCATAGGCCTCAGATCGACTGAGCAGCACGCCAAACCAGACCACTCCATATCTGAAGCTGTCCGCAGGACAGCGTTGTCATTTCATTTCTATAACAAACTGCGTATCATTACGCAGGCCGCGCCCAGCGCCGCGCTTCTTTACACTACAGGCACGAAGTCCCTGGTTACTGCATTGCATGCGATGAGGCCATAAACGCCTGCTGGACTGAAGGGAGGTACGGTCGCTCCTCCTCCTCCTGCTCCTCCTCCTCCTCCTGTTCCTCCTTCCTCCTCCTTCCTCCTCCTCCTCCTCCTCTTCCTCCTCCTCCTCCTCCTCCTCCTCCTCCTCCTCCTCCTCCTCTTCCTACTCCCCCTTTTTCCTCATCGTCTTCCTCCCCCTCCTCCACCCCCTCGTCCTCATCATTCCTTCTCGCCCTCCCCCGTTTTTGCTCTCCTTAGGGCTCCTCCCTTCTCCGGGCCCAGGTGTGGGCAGCGGCGGTGGACCCGTACGCAGAGGGCGATTCCGACGACGAGGAGGAGGTGGAGGAGGAGGTGGACGGGGACGACGCCAGATCGTTCCTCAGGTGCACCCAGCCCCTAAGCAATGCAACGGGCAGAAGGCAGAGGAAAGGACAGACAAAAGGGACAAGGGGGAGGAATGAGGTGTGGTGAGGAGGATGACGATGATGATGACGATGACGACGAAAACGATGATGCTGACGATGATGATGATGATGATGATGATGATGATGATGATGATGATGATGATGATGATGATGATGATGATGATGATGATGATGATGATGATGATGATGATGATGATGATGATGATGATGATGATGATGATGATGATGATGGTGATGGTGATGGTGATGATGGTGATGGTGATGATGATGATGGTGATGGTGATGGTGATGGTGATGGTGATGGTGGTGGTGATGATATTTATGTTGGTGATGATGATGATGATGATGATGATGATGATGATGATGATGATGGTGGTGGCGACGATGATGAGGATGAGGATGATGATGCTGCTGAAGGTGATGATGATGATGACGGCGACGATGCTGACGATGATGATATGATGATGTTGGTGGTGATGGTGATGGTGGTGGTGATGGGAGGTAGGGGAATGGGTGGGCCCATCCGTTGGCCCACCACTTTTTGGAGGTCTGCTCATACGGATGCTGCGTTGTGTGTTGTGCCTTGCATCGCATTGCAATGCAATCGCACTGCATTGCATTGGGATGCATTTACGTTGCAGCGCAATCGCATTGCACTGCATTCAGGGAGGGTGGATGGAGAGAGCATGCAGAGGCGGACGGGGAACGATCGAAGAGGGAGGGGACAGGGGGCGGAGTCACCCAGTGCCGCCAAAGTGGCAGCATTATATACATCTATACATAAATGAAAAATATCTTTCAAATACAAAATGATCTAAAACAACTTCGAAAATCAAAGATTTCGGAACTTATGCTGGCGCAGACGTCCGATCACTGAGATTATGTGTCGGAGCCTTGATGTGTTGGTTCTGTTGGACCTGCCTGTTGTGTTGGGTGTTTTTCATCTGGTTTTTTGTTTAGTTTGTTTAGACCCCTCCTCACGTTCGAAGGCTCCCAGGATGTCGTGATGTCAAGGCGTCGTCGTTGCACGATGCTACAGAGTGCATAACATGCGGAACGATCTTGGAGTCAGTTTGAATTCGTGGTGGCGTGATTGTGTATCTTCCAGCAGTGGGTGAAATTCACAGGATTTCGAAAACCAGTTCGAGCCACATGAAAGTTGTGTACATAGCGAGTCATGGCTAGATTGTGAATCAGCTTTGAGTCTCCTGATGAGCGGATGTTTTAAGGCGCAGCATTGTCGCGGTTCTGTTTGTCTCGCGGTGTCGTGGTGTGGTGGCGTCATGGTGTCGCAGAGAGGTGTTGTCGCGGTGCCGTCAACCCGAGTTGCCCCGTGCGAACCGAGTGTGAACGGACGAGTGGGGCATTGATTCGTTAGGACGTGTTTGGTTTGATTGTGTAGCCATTGCGAATAGCAGTGTTGTCGCATTGCCGTCGTACCGAGCTGCCCCGTGTGAACCGAGTGTGAACGAGTGGGGCATTGATTCGTTAGGACGTGTTTGGTTTGATTGTGAAGCCATTGCGAATAATTTCCGATTCAATTGGGAATCAACGGCGAGGAGGTCGCGAACCAAGGAGGAGGGAAGAGACGAGGATGCTGATGATGATGGTGAAGATGATAATGATGATGATGAGGAGGAGGAGGAGGAGGAGCAGAACGGGCCAGAGTAAACCCCCAGGATCCATCAATGATGTTGCAACGCGCCCCCACCCCCCCTAAGCTTATCAGTCTCTACAGGTTTTTAGTGATTCGTTTGTTGGGGGGGGGCTCTCCCTTGAACGACGAGGAGCGCCCCATGGGCGTGCAATTCGCCCTGTACCAGGTTCGTTCGAATGTATCGGAAGCGGCAGTGCGTACGTACTCCAGAATTCATAATAAAAGGGAGGGGGTCTGGACCCTTCAAGACAAGCCATTTCAGACCTCCCCCGTGGGAGAAGCCTCCAAAACATCGTCCCCAGACCCCCCAGGCCCTCCAAGATAGCCTGGAAGAGACCCCCCCCCGAAATGAGACCCCCCTCCCTTTATTACGAAATCTGGAGTATGTGAAGTTCACGTCCGTGTCAAGCGTGAGCCCCCTTTTGGAATCCGTATGGTTGAAGTTTCGGATCACAGCCTGGGGAAGCTTGCTCTCCACCCATGCGGTGGTTGTACCCGTTTGAGGCTTGGCGATGGCCTCAGGCGAGAGCTGGATACCGCCCATCAGACATGTAGCAGTTGCAGCGTTTGACACGGAGATGGGCGACGCTGAGGCGATAGCCACATTTTGAATGCGGTCTTACCTCAATCCCTGTAACTGCTGATTTGTTTCAGTACAATGCGTATCTATATATATATATATATATATACACATATATACATATATATATATATATATATATGTGTGTGTGTGCATGTGTGTGCGAATGTGTTGTGTGTTGTACCTGATTGTCTGTGTGTCAGTGTGTGTTTGTGTGTTTGTGTGTTGTGTGTTATGTGTGTTGTGTGTGTTATGTGTGTGTGCGCGGCGTTGAGGAGAGAGCTACATGTTGAAAACGACATGCTCGCTATCCGTGTGTCTGCAAGGAATTTCGAGCTTCAGGGCCATCAGCTGGAGGGAGCCTCGGGCGGTACGCCCAGCCCGCCCCACCAGGACGTCTACGGGGAGGAAGCATGCGGACGGAAGACGTGTATAGGGGGAGAAGGAGGGGGATGGGGAGGAGGGGAAGGGTTAAAGGAGGAGGAGGGGGAGCAGGAGAAGCAGGAGGAGGAGGAGGAGGAGCAGGAGGGGGAAGCAGGAAGAAGAGGAGGAGGTGGAGGGAGGAGGTGGAGGAGGAGGAGGAGGGAGGAGGAAGAGGAGGGAGGAGGAGGCGGAGGAGGAGGACGAGGGGGAGGATCAAGGATGAGGAAGAGGATCCCTCCGCCCCCCAGCATGGAGGCGCCTCCGCGCCGAGCGCCGCAAGGCCGCCCAGCCCGCGCGGTGAGCCGCGCGCCCGCAGCGGCCCCTCGGCGTGGTCCCCGCAGGGCACCGCCGGAGGACGGAGCTCCCAGGCACGCTCTCGGGAGGCGGACCGTCCTCCACCGGCCTCGCGCTCTGCCTCGCGCCCTTCCTCCCTCCCTCCCTCCCTCCCTCCCTCTCTCTCTTTCCCTGCCTCCCTGTCTCCCCTTCCCTCCCCTCCCTCTCTCCCTCCCTCCCCTTCCCTCCTGTTGGTCCTGACGTCGAGGAAAATCATCATCCTCATCCTCATCCTCATCCTCATCCTCATCCTCATCCTCCCTCCCTCCCTCCCTCCCTCCCTCTCTTTCTCTCTCTCTCTCTCTCTCTATCCACTCTCCCTCCCTCCCTTCCTCCCTCCCTCCCTCCCTCCCCCCTCCCTCCCTTCTCCTCCTCCTCCTCTTCCTCCTCCTCCTCCTTTTCCTCCTGGCTCCTGGCTCCTGGCTCCTCCTCCTTCTCCTCCTGGCTCCTGGCTCCTCCTCCTCCTCATCCTCCTCATCCTCCTCCTCCTCCTCCTCCTCCTCCTCCTCCTCCTCCTCCTGGCTCCTGGTTCCTGATGGCCATAGAGTTCACCGAATGTGGCCTCCCTCCCTCCAGCAGCGGTCGCTGCCAGGGGGTGGTGATCAATCCGTGGGCCCCTCCCCTGGCAGCACCGTGTGGTGCGCCGGGCGGGGCGGGCGCCCGCCGGCGGGGTGTGGATCTTCTTCCGAATTGCACCTCGACTCCGAACTCATCCCTCCCTGCCGGCGCCCCCGGGAGCGTTGGGGCCATGGGGGTGGCCCCGCCGCTCCCACCGGGCGCGCTGCTGCAGCTGGAGGCCGCGGCGAGTCCAACTCCCCCCCCCCAGGGCCTCCAGTCCCCTCCCTGGAGGGGCAACGATGAGGCCGCAGGAGAACGCGTGGTCGTCCCAGCTGTCGGGGGCGCGCAGGTGTAGGGAGGCGCCGATGTGGAAGTTGGCCTGACCTGAGTGCTAAGTATGGTGGCGTTGGGAGTCGGGGATGGTGGGTTGGGCGGCAGGGGTCTGGCAGCTGCCGGGCAGGCCGCGCAGCCGCGTGGGCCACCGCTGAGGCCGTCGAGGCTACCTGTGTTTCGGCGCTTGGGTCTCGTCCTCGCCCCTGGAAGCCGAGAGCCGCGCTGACCAGGGGGCGAGGGCGTGGGCAGGGCGTCAGACGCTGCGGCGCTGCTGGTGGCAGCCCAGGCCATTCACCTCGTGGCAGTGCTGGTGCTGCTGGCTGCAGTCGTGGCGCTGCTGCTGGTCGGAGTCGCGGTGCTGCTGCCGGTCGCTGGCTGGGGCGTCTGGTGGGGGGGGCGGAGCGGGGCTCCGTCATGGTGCTACTGTCCGCAGCCCCTGGGTGCTGCTGCTCGTCCGTCGGCGTGGAGCTTCGGGGCCAGCAGTCGTGCCAGGTTCGGAGGCCATGCTGGCGTCAATGCTGGAGTCGATGTAGGTGGCGTAGGTGGTGGCCCCAGTGCTGGAGGCGGCCGTGCCATCTTCGATGATGGAATTGATGTTGAGATTGGTGCTGGCGTCGGTGCCGGGGTCGGTGCCATGGTTGGTACTGGTGTCGATGCTGGCGTGGGTGCTGGCTGTGACACTGGGGTCGCTACTGTCATCAGTGTTTGTTCCGATGCTGGGGTCGTTGGTCGCATCGATGCTGGGGTCGATGCTGGCGTAGGCACTGACGTCAATACAGGTTCTTTTGTTGGAGTCGATGCTGTCCTCGGTGTTTGTGTCGATGCTTGCTCTGGTGCTGGAGTCACTGCCGTCCTCGCTGCTGGCGCTGATATTCGGGTCGATGCTGGGGTCGGACCTGGCGTCGGTGCTGACGCTAGTGCTGGCTGCGGTATTCGGATCAGTGCTGACTTCGGTGCTGGTGCCGTTGCTGGCGTCGGTGCTGGCGTCGATGCTGACGTCGGTGCTGGCGTCGATGCAGGCTTCAGTATTAGAGTCGATGCCAGTGTCGATGCTGGCGTCGCTGCTGGTGCCGATGCTGTAGTCGATGGTGTCTCCGATGCTGTTGTCAGTTCTGGCGTCACTGCTGGCACTGATGCTGGGGGCAGTGCTCGTGTCGGTGCTGACGTCTGCGCTTGCACCGATGATGGGTCGACGCTGTCCTCGATGCTGGTGCGGGTACTGACGCCAGTGCTGAGGTCAGCTCTTTGGACGATTCTGGCGTCGGTGTTGGTTTCGATGCTGACGTTGAAACTGGCATCGATGCTGCCGTCGATGCTATCGTCGCTGCTGGGGTCGCTGGCGGTGTCGGTGTTGGCGTGGATGCGGGCTCTGGTGTTGGAGTCGATACTGTCCGCGGTGCGCGCTTTGATGCGGGCGTCGATGTTGGCGTCGGTGCTGGCGTCGCTGCTGGAGTCACTGCTGTCTGCGATGCTAGCGTCGATGCGGGAGTCGATGCTGACGGGAATGCTGGCGTCGGAGCTGGCGTAGATGCTGGCATTGGTGATGACGAAGATGCTGCCGTCGGTGTCGGAGTCAGTGCTGTCTTCGGTGCTGGGGGCAGTACTCGCGTCGGTGCAGCCACTTACTTCAAAGCCTTGTACTGCAAGCTATCGAGCCCTCGTGGTTGCCGAAATGATCGCTCTTGGTGTCGGTGCTGGCGTCGGTGCTGGCTGCAATGCTGGGGTCGCTGCTGTCTTCGGTGCTGGTGCCGATGCTGGCGTCGATGTTGGCGCCGCTGTTGGTGTGAGTGCTGATTTCGGTAGGGCGACGGGTGAAGCGCGGGACGGGGCATCGGGGAGAGAGTCGGAAAAGACTTCCGACAGGGCGTCGGAGGGGACGTCGGGGACGACGTCGTGCGGGTGGTCGGCGAAGCCCTCCTGCTGTCGCAGTCGTGGCGTCTCTTGGCGTGCGCGCGGGAGGGCCGCTTTCGGTGCTGTCGTGAGGGTAAATGCAAGGTTCGATGCTGGCGTGGTTTCTGGCGTCGATACTGGCGCTGTTGATGACGTAGATACTGGCTCCGATGCTGGAGTCGGTGTTGCCTTCGATGATGGCGTTGATGCTGGGGTTGCGGCTGGCGTCGGTGCTGGGTCGATGACAGGGTCGGTGTTGCTGACGTCGGTGCTGGCTGCGGCACTGGGGTCACTACTGTCTTCAGTACTGGTGCCGATTAGCATCGTTGGTCGCCTCGATGCTGAGGTCGATGTTGGCGTGGGTGCTGGCGTCGATATTGAAGTCGATGCTGGGGTTGGTGATGATGTAGCTGCTGGCTCCGGTGCTAGCGTCACTGCCGTTTTCGCTGCTGGCGCTGGTGTCGGTGGAGGCGTCGATGCTGTGGTGAGTATTGGTTTCGATGCTGGGGTCGGTGGTGGTGTCGATGCTGACGTGGACACGGGTTCCAGTGCTGGAGTCGATAATGTCCTCGATGCGCGCGTCGATGCCGGCGTCGATGATGGCGTCGGTGTTGGCGTCTATGGTGGTGTCGATGCTGGCGTCAGTGCGGACGTCGATGCAGGCTTGTGTGCTGGATTCGATCATGGTCATGGCTGTAACAATGGGGTCACTACTGTCTTCGGTGCTGGTGCCGATGCTGGCGTCAGTGCTGACTTTGGTGCTGGCGTCGATGCTGGGGTCAGTCCTGGTGTCGGTGTTGACGTCGATGCTGGCTTAGAGGCTAGAGTCATGACTGCCTTCAGTGCTGGCGTCGATGCTGTCGTCATCGATGGCGTTGATGCTGGAGTCAGTACGGCGTCGATGCTGACGTCGCTGCTGGCTCCGATGGTAGAGTCGGTGCTGTCGCTCCTCCTCCTCCTCCTCCTCCTCCTCCTCCTCCTCCTCCCCTTTGGGCACGCTCGACCTTCTCCTCCTCCTCCTCCTCCTCCTCCTTCTCACTCCTTCTGGTTCTCCTCCCTGCTCCCTCGAAATGGGTGGTGGGCACGCCCGCGCGCGCGGCCCCACCCGCGTCGGGGAGTAAGCTGCCGCGCCTCCGCGCCTCCGTGGCCGACGCCCGCTGTTCCGAGACCTTGCCGCGGTGCGCGTGTTTCAATGTCGTGGGGCTCAAGAAGCAGTGCAGTGTCGGGGGGGAAGAGCAGGAACAGGATGAGGAGGATGGCAAGTAACGTAGGGACAACGCTTCGGCTTGTGAGGATGAGCAGGGACAGTATCATGCGGATGAGAATGAGCAAGCGGGGGGGGCGGATGACGATGACGATGATGATGCTGATGCTGATGCTGGTGATGGTGATGGTGGTAGTGATGGTGATGTTGGTGATGGTGATGGTAATAGTGATGATGATGATGATGACGACGATGGTGATGGTGATGGTGATGATGACTATGATGGTGATGATAAATGATAGTGATGATGATGGTCATGATGATGATGATGATGATGATGATGATGATGATGATGATCATGATGATGATAGTGATGGTGATGATGATGACGATGGTGTTGGTGATGGTGGTGATGATGATGGTGTTGATGGTGGTGATGAATATGATGATGGTGGTGGTGATAATGGTGATTGTGATGGTTAGGATGTTGATGATGATGCTAATGGTGGTGATGATGGTGATGATGGTGATGGTAATAGTTACGATGATGGCAGTAAGGTTGATGATGTTGCTGATGATTACGATTATGATTGTGAGTATGATGTTGAGGATCATGATGAGGAGGGTGGGAAGGAGGAGGAGGAGGAGGATCAGGAGAAGCGGGATGATAGGAGCCGGAGCAGCAGCATGAGGAGGGGAGTGATAATGAGGAAAGCATGAGGAATAACCAAAGGTATGATGTTGGCGTTGCTGTTGTTGCCGCTGTTGGTGATGATGATGATGATGATGATGTTGATGGCGATGATGAGGAGGAGTGAGGAGGACGACGACGATGAGGGCGATGAGGAGCAGCAAGTTGCCGAAGCTACGAGCGCGCCCCGAGTGACAAGGTGGCGGGGGGGAGCGCTGAGCTCCACTTGATGATCTCAGGACCCCCTCTGTGTGTGAAGTCCGCTCATACAACGATTATATATCCATATATA